CTTATGGAGTCATGGCCTATTGAAATGTCACTGTTTGTATCTAAAAACCAGAAGGTGGTAAAATACTTGGTGAAATCTAATACTGGGCGTGTTAAGCGCCTGTTAATATATTCCAGTGTTCGAAGCAATATTTACGTTTTGGTGGTGTTTAGATGATTGTATGAACGTTTTTGTATGAATCTTACTGGAGACATAGACAAACATACGTCTAGTTGAACTTATGGAAGAAAACGTTGTGCAACGCCATAGTTGATTTCATCATGTTACGTACGCAAAGAATTCTAATTTATCGTGTTACAAGTATGAGGTTCAAGAAAGACTTAACCGAAATCGAAATTGTGTTCTGATTATGTAATTTTCGCATCACATCAGTGCAGTACGAAGACGCTAAGCATGATATGTATGACCATGTAATGTATAACATGTATAACCATGTAATGGCCTGCTAAACGAATGCGGAATATTTTGTATAAGAAGTCGTTAACCAAAAGTTGGTAGTCCCATCGGTTCACAAACTACGGCGAGCTGCATACGAGAAGGAGGCAGCACTAGCTGACAGAACAAAAGCCTATTTTCCAAACAGGAGAAGATGGATGATTGCCATTGGAGAGATCGGCTCTTTCAAACGAAGCCCCTGAAAGGAAACCGGCTCTTCTCCCCACCAAATCAAACTATATTCATTTTCAGTTAGCACGTAATACAGGAAGGACAGGAAGATATATATCATCCAGGCTTGCGCATTGTCAGCCGTGACAGAGGATACGAACTCTGCGTGAATTAAATCACTACTAGAGCAGAATATAAATAGAATGTTTGCTTTACGTGTGAAAATGATCCAGCTGCTGCAAAAGACCCAAGCGCCAACGGAGCACGACCGCGACCAAAATTATATTTTAAAGATGGCATGGAAATGCTATCTCAAGGTGTGACAATGGTCAACCACTTGAGCGACTAACTGTTTTGTGTTGAATTTAAATAATCCGCTTGATGCTGAATTTGAACTGCAGTAGCTTAGTGTAACTAGGACTAAAAGATATAAATGATTATCTGTTCAATTCCTTTACAGCGCATCCTTTCATATATGATTTCTATTTTATAGAGATATCAAGGATCAGACATCAGGAACCTTGTCGCAGAGGATTACCGATAAGCTGAGTGGTCTCAAAGGATTGGCAGTTCAGCTTTACGACATTCAGAAGTATTTGTCTGAAGTGTCAGCCGGAACGCTGCCAATTAATCACAACGTCATTTACTTGTTGCAGGTATGCCCTATCGCTTGGCCTTAAATAAATGAACAGTCATGCTGTAGTTTGTGTTTTGTTAAAGGATATCCTTAATCTTTTGCCGGACATCACTTCACCAGAGTTCGCACGCTGCGCCGTAGTTCAGACCAATGATTTGATGTTGATGATATACCTGGGATCTTTGCTACGTTCCGTGGTTGCTCTGCATAACCTTATAAGCAACAAGGTACCCATTCGTCGATATGTGCTCGCTGTTTATCCGCGTAATTTTGACGGTTCAGCTGTCTTTGCGAGATCAAGAGCGAGAAGACAAAGCTGAATCATCTGCTTCTAAAGCGGCACCTAAAAAAGATGACCTGGCCGAAAAGAAAGCGTCTGACGAAAGTAAAGAGAAGAGCAGCAAAATGCCGCGGAAAGAAGCATAGGCACCACAGCTTATAT